GCAGAAATTCATACATAAAAAATCGGAAACTTGCAAAATTGCAGATTATTGCATAACTTTGTAAAAAATAAAAAGCAGAAATCTGCAAAATCGCAGACTTCCGCATAAATTCACAAAAAAAATGCGGAGATCTGCTAATTTTACAGATCTCTGCAGTTCTGCATCTTAAAAAATTTCCCGATGATATATTTCAGATATAAATTCACTTACAGGAAAATGTTGTAGCATTTTTTTTTTATCAGGTCCCATAAGTGATGTATAGTTCCAATTACCTCAAGCAGAACCATCATGATAAAACTCAAAATGAATATTAAAATCATTTATTTTTTTTCAATTTTCTCTTTAAAATTTCGCTCAAAATCATTTTTCTTAAATAAATCTCTAAATAAACATTCCATCAATACATCAGATATCCGTAATAAGATATGGAGTTCATCAGGAATGTAACTATGTAAATCAACTACAGGAAATAAAGATACCCTTTTTTTCCTAGTTAATGTAAATTAATAATTACTCATATGTTATTGTTTTACAAAAAATTCAAAACATTTTAAATTATTTTACCTCTAATATTTCCAGTAAGTGGCCAAGAAAGATCCATATTATGGCAAGATTTAGCATCACATTCACAGAATAGGCAAAAATACTTTGAATTTGGTACATTTAAGCCCATAATAATATATGTAAACTTTCAATCACCAGAAAAATAAAATTTAATTGGCCAATGAATGCCATCACCATCAATTATTTCACTTTCTTTTAAATCAGCTAACTGTACAGCAAATATTTTGCTAACCTTATCCAATGTTTTATATTTTTCTTTACCTATATAAAGACATATACTGAAATAGCAATTGAATTTTATTTATTTCAGTTTTCATTAAAATTACAAGTTAATTTATAATACATGTAAAAAATATACCTATATTGATGGTCTGGTTTAAGCACATTATTTTTTTTATTTAGTAAACAAAAGGTAATCATTACATGGTTTTGTTTTCTTCTCACATTATAACCATCACCAGCAAGTTTTATATAAAAAGTATCTTCTGAAATTATTACAGGATTTTTGCCTCCTTTTCAAATAGGTATTAATACTTTAAGTAAAATTGAAAGAAAATGATAAGCTCCATTTTCCACTTCATAATTATTTACTAAAATGTCACCAGTATTTACATCAGAATCATGATCATTAATTTGATTAATATCTTGATCTATATTAAAAATTTTCACATTTATCTAAGTATTTATTAGTTCATTTATCTTATTTCAGCGATTAGCAACTAAATATTCATAGAAAAGTGATGGTACAACTGCTGCTAAATGTCGATATCCATCATGGCTTAAAAGTGCTTCATTATACACATGTACAATAGTATCAAGTCTTGTTTGAATTACCATATGATTTGAATTTTTGAGTTTAATACAAACTTAATTCTTTTTGTAATTAAATCCAATTTGCTGTAAATGTATAATTGATTCTCCAGATACATTTATCAACTTATGCTTAATGATCAATTCATCAACTGCTTTATGCACATCTTTTCCAAAACTTTTAAATCTTTTATTTTGCTGTGATTGAGAAGTAATTTTCTCAAGAGGTCTTTTTCGCTTATCTTTTGTACTAGCAGTAATAGATTAAAAACCAATTTGTGAACGAGCATAGTATAGTGGCTCAATATCAAATCCAAACAACTGAGATCCAGAAAGTTTAGTTGATAGATTTTGGTTAATTTTCTAATCAATAAAATATTAAATTAATTATCTATAATTATTAAATTTTTCAATATAAATATGAAAGATTACATACTTGCAAAAATGTATTGACAACTGCTATTGAAGATTTTGTACTACTAACACAGGACCCCGGATATCTCCAAAACAGGTCATAAGTCACACTTTCGGCAGATTGGCCCATTTTTCAGGGGCTCAAAAAATCGTTTTTTGTAAATATCTTGGCATCCAGTGGTCCAATTTTGANGCATCCAGTGGTCCAATTTTGATGAACATTTTTTTAAATTGTAGAGCTAAATGAGGGCTACAAAATAAAAAAAGTTCATTAAAATTGAATTACTGGATGCTGAGATATTTACAAAAAACGATTTTTTGAGTTTCAGCAAAAAGGGGTGTTTTTGGCCAAAAGTCCATTATGACCTTTATATTAGATATCCGGGGTCCTACTAACACTCCACTCTGCCCAACCAATCTTCCAATTAATTATAGTTTAGCTTTGAATTTGAAATATATTTAGTTTTGCAATTAAGACTTCTTTCAAATATCTCTGTTTCAACTATATAATTATCAGGTATTGGATATTGAATTGCATTGTTTTTAGATTTTTGTGTCAACTTTGGTGTAGAAGGATAGGTTCCCAGAGAAATAATATTGTAATATGAAATAAATAATTGTCCATTTGATTGATAATGTGCTTCAATTTTCAAACTTTTTGGATAATCATGTGTAAAGACACGACTAGAAAATGTAGCTATTGATAAAGGATGTTGTTAGACTTTTCCCTATATTAAAAAAAAAAAAAATATTACTTTCGGTAATGGAAACGATTGTTTCTGCCATTTTTATTATTTTAAAGCAAAGAGTTTTGCTAATTGACTATAATAAATTTTTAATATACTACTTACGGTTTTCCAAAAAAAACCAATTCCTTTCAAATAAAACCAATTACAAACCAATTACCAATAGGAATCAAAGTTGCAAAAAATAAGTTTGAAGTCACCAACAATTGGTTTGAATATGAAATCGTCATGTAAACAGTGATAATATCAGATAACGCACAATGATGCACAAGTTATTTTGATCAGCATGTCAATCAAAATTCATATTTATCACTAAAAATTAATTAGTGATACAAGACAAATCGGCCCATATGTTAATTTTCACAATTTTTGTTACTCAAAATTGTTTTGTAATACCAAAAAATCATCTGATTGATGATCACTTGACTAAATAATAAGTTGAACAAAAATTTACATTTGCGAAACTTAAATTATTAAATGTAAAAGAGCTGTGAAAAAACTCATTTCACTAGTAAAAAACCCATTTCTTATATATATAGAATTTTTAATATATATTATTAAAAAGTAAGTATATTTTAATAAAATATAAAGCAAAATAAAAATTTATATAGCCTTAGTAGCTATAAATATTTATAAAAGTATAATAAAAATATCATATAAAAGATGGTATCATAATAAATATTTTCAAACAATAAAAATAATTATTTTATGTCAGAGTTTGTATTACCATCTTTAAATGCAAATATATCAAGATTCACTAATTCGTTTTCTATAATTTTAGGCTCGTTGGAAAGCCCTTGTTCTGGACTTTATAGGCAAAAAAAGAGCTCGCCAATTGAATCATTAGATCTGGAGATATTTACATTTAAAGTTGAGATATGAACTTTTTAATATGCTTAAATGCAAATATCTTGGGATCCACTGATCCATTTTTTATAAATTTAGGCTCTTTGGAAAGCCTTTGATCTGGTCTATATGAACGAAAAAAGAGCTTGCCAATTGGATCATTGGATCTGGAGATATTTACGTTTTAAGTTGAGATACAAATTTTTAACATATATAGTAAGTGCTAAGAATTATATTAATTTAAAAGAAATATTTACCAAATTATAGTATCCCTTAAACTGTTTTGCAGCCAAATTTTCCTGCAATTTTGTTTTTTAATTAAAGCCACTTTTAAATACCTTAAAATATTTTATTACATAAACCAATATTTTTATAATAAATTCTATAGTATTTTCTAAGTAAAAATCGAAAAAAAAGTTCAATTTGATTAATGATTTTTTAAAAGTAAATGATCGACAAATTATAACAAATAGTAGCTAAATTTTTTAAATTGAAATATCTTTTTATCTATTAACTCTAGAAATATAAAATTACCACCATTTGATGCATCTTAATGAGAAGAATCTGATGGAAATAAAATTATCCTTCCACAAATATTATGTGACAGGATAACTTATAAAATCTAAAATTTTATGAATTAATATAATTTTTTATTTATCAATTTTAGAGTTATGATTTTATTACCATTAAATGCTCCTTAATAAGAGGAATCTAACAAATATAATTTCATCTTTCTATAATCACTAGATCTTAAGATATTGTAAAAATTCAAAAATTTTTAAAATTAATTTTAGCCCCTACAGTTTAAGGAATAATAACATTAAATAAAAATTTTTTAATACTCATTTCCAATTTACTGTATATTATATAGTATTTTGTATAATAAAAATGTAATAAAATTAATATTTTAATTAAAGGTAGACAAATCAGCCCATATGATATGTTTAAAATAGGGATTGGAATCAAAAATTGAATCTTTTCAAGATTTTTCTTATAGACAACCAACCTGACTTTGAATCAGTTTCTAATTTCAGTAAAAATAATCAGTACTTGGCCGGCATGAAAAATTACATGTAAAAAATTGCTGAGAATTGATTCTCGAGAATCGATTTTACTATGTTTTGTCGATTTTTGATTAATCGATTCCAATCCCTAGTTTAAAATATTATTAAAATATGCTTAAAATTCAATTTAAGTATATTTTAAGAATATAAAAAATACACTTATATTGTATTTAAATTTTAATTTAAGTATATTTTAAGAATATTTTAAATATGTAAAAAAATACACTTATATTGTACTTAAATTTTAGTTCAAGTATATTTGAAGTATAATTTAAGTACTTAGGCAAAAACAAGTACATTAAAAGTATATCTTAAAAGTATTTCAGGCATATTTTAGGTATATTATAAGTATATCGTGAATTAAAATTGATACTTATTTTAAGTATATTTTAATAAAATTTCAAATATATTTTAAGTATAAAGACTTTTCATAGGGTAAGCGAAGTCCTGTTTGGACCAAAAGTGACAAAATTATGAAATTTGAAATTTTTTTTGAAATTTCCTTTTATGTAAAATTCCTTTAAATGGTATAGATCAATATAAATTCATTTCACAAAATTTCCTGTTTTGGATGTATGTGTAGCATCAATCATTACCATTTAAGGAAATTTCACATAAAAGGAAATTCATATGGGCTAAATTAACGCATCAACCAAATGTCACATGGAAAAACAATGTGACAAAATAGGAATGATCTAGAATTTAGATATGATTGGCTAATTATGAAATATCAAAATTACTGTGATTTGTGAAACAAGTCTAAGTTTTATTCTAAATACAATGAACGCTAAGAATAAAAAAAGCTCTCTTAAGAAAACTACGTGTTCTTTGTGTCAATTTACTGACAATTCGACCATCCTATATACAAAAAATAAACTTTCTTTACATCAAAAACAATTACATCCAAATAATCATGTTGTTCCGCATATAGAGCAATCTGTACTTGACAGTATTTCAGATACTCAAGTCTGAAGTTTTTGGAGTTCTTTACTAGTTAGAATTGAAAAAAAACTCTCATACCACCATTCTAAAAGTGGGGTTAGGCAATTAATATGTGAACCATTTAATGAAGAATTATTTGTCAAAATTTTTTCTAATAAGGAAAGCTTTACCTATATACCTTATTTAAAAAAATATAAATGCACGTTTACAGGAAAAGATTGGGGTGAAAAAAATCATAATAGTGGAACAAAAGCTTATGTGTTTATGGAAAATAAGGAGCAGAAAAAGGATGTAACTTTTATTTGGTCTGATTTTGTAGTAACAAGAATCCGTGATGGCAAAGAACCTTTAATTTTGCATAGTCCAAAATTGGTAGTTTCTTTTACAATTTCTACCGGTTATTTTATTCAAAGTTAAGAGGATGATATAATAGCAAACATTTTTAAGGAATGCGAAGAATGTATTAAGGATGATAACTCAAATAATAGGACCCCGGACATCACATATATAACTCATAACTGATCTGCATAAATTTAAGTACTTTTTGCTCCTGCTAAAATAGACCTAATTTGCTAAAAATCAAATTATCACATTTCAAATCTATACTAATTTGCTAAAACTCAAAATA